AAAATTTTCAAATTTTTGCGAGGAGAGATAGAAAATGAATTAAGCATTTCTTCTTTGACCTGCATTTTGAAAAGTTTCAAGTAACATTCGATGAATTAAAGTAATTTTAATAAAAAGTATATATGTAGAGCACAAAGCGAGGCACAAAGGTCCAATTTGACTTTGATCAAATATAAACTATATTGTGAAAACCAAACCAATTACATCATAACAAATAACACATTTCAAACGAACAATTATCTGACTACATTCATAAAACTGCCAGCTACTTCATCATTGTAGAAATGTGCTTTTTTAATGTCTTTCAAAAATTTGTTATCTAGATCTTTTACCCCATATACAGGGTAACTTGGAATGGCCAGATGGCAAACAGGTTTAATGTCTTATTTTAATTTTAAAGGTATTTTACAAAATAATTACACTTTTAACTAATGCTAAAAAACTACCAACGGAAGAAAATACTTTTATTATGGACTTTCAAATATCACCGTTTATCTCCAGATAGCAAAGTCATAAGAATCAAGGTTATAGCTGGTTATACATTTTTTTCCCTCTACTTTCAAATATTGTTGTTAAACAATGCTTAACTTTACTGGTTTTTGACACATTGGTTGTGGACCTTTTTAACTCCGAACCTTCATATATTACTATTTATTTTTCGATAAATTCTGGGAAATTATAACTGGAAAAATGTTATTCGACAAAATGTCCCTTTGATCGATGCCAAATTTAGGTTCTGAATTTAACTAACATAAATAAAAAATAATATAACCTAGAAAATGTTTTATAAATGCCAATGAATATATAATTATACAAATGAGATCTTTTAGAGCACCAAAGAGTGCTACAACGCCAAAAAGTGCATTTTCATACTAACATTTTAAAAAAGTTGATATTTTGAGTTTCTAGTAACACTTGCGGCCCGTTTAATAACGTTTTTGTGTATAAATAAAACTACAAACAAAACTACTTACTACAATTTAATCATAATTAAATAATATTCACGTAAAACATCCTATTAAACGTAATTGAACATCATCTGTCAAAAACGTTTGACATTTGACGTATTAGCCACCGTCCATAGTTTTATTCAAATTACGCTTCTACAAAAATTTTCAAATTAAAAATGTAAAGTTTCTACACAATTTTGAAATAATATCTCACCTTTCCGACCATCTCTGGATTGGCACGAATTTTTCAAGACTAAGACTGGCCAAATCGGTTTAGCCGTTTTCGAGTTCTACCGAATCATTTTATCGACAGCTCCATTTATATATAAGATATATAATCATATGTATGTTTTATGATTTTTATTATCTAGTTGCGTGGGCAAGTTGCTCGTCTCAGACAAAAACGTGGAGCAATCCGTCTGGAGATTGAACACACAAAAGATACACATGGACTCCTCCTCAAACCAGCACTTTTATTACAAGATTATAAACTCAGCATGACAAAGGTCTGTTAATTCTTAGATACTAGTATTTATCATTCGATATCATTATTATTTAGAATATCCTGATGGTTGATCTGTATTTTTATTCCATAAACCAAATGCTACTATTATACATCAAGTGGGTCGGAGCGTAAATTTAGCTTCTTCTAGAGTAGATCACAAATAATAATCAAATTATAAAACTATACATTGGCGGTTTTGATAGAACACCTTTGCTATCTTTTGGATATACCAAAGTTACAGCTCTTAAAATTTTTGGTTCTTGTCGGAGACAAACTAGATTGATGTAATTTTTTTTAGTTTTACTATATTTTTAAATTTCAGGTCGACCAAATGAAAGTTAAGCTGGAGCAATTGAAAACCGAATATGCACAAATTCGTATGAAGTTACAACTAATTCGATCGATGCAGATGGCTAAAGCTTCAAAATCTATGACGAGACTACCAATGTAATTATATATAATATATTATATGATATATATATATATATATATATATATATATATATTCAATTTCAGTTCCCAGAAATCAGATTCAACACTGCCCTCGATACATCATTCACCAATTCGTAGAAGAGATTAAAAGTCAACAAACATTATACATATTTGATTTAAAATATTTTAGTAGTAAATATATATATGATATTACAACACAAGTCTGTTTAATTTAAACATTTTTATTATGAAATATTATATAAAATCTATACATATTTATAAAAGTAACAATATAATTTCTCATCTTGCTTGCTCATTTTATTTCCTATAATTTTAGTTTTTTTTTATAATTTTAGTTCCTTATTTAAAATATCAAAAAGTAGAAAGCATATTATCATTTAAATATAATTTAATTTCAAATTTAGATGTTTAATATCTTTACTAGTAATGATTTTCCTACACATTGGACATTCTTTCAAATTCATAAAAGATGACAAGATGCACGCTTTGTGAAACATGTGACCACATTTTGTAACTACCGAACAATCATAGTCGATCAAGTTCTCAAGACAAATTGCACATTTTTCCTTTCGACGTAATTCACATAAGCTTAAAAAAACAATATAATTAAATAATAGTAAAGATAATGAACTATTATTTAAAATTCAAAACTTACTAATCGATCCATAAGTTTTCAAAACAAGCTTTGTATAGAAGTTCAAGTCTATTATTTCCTGAGCGGATGCTTAGGTCTTCGAGTTCAATATGAGTTTTGCAAATTGGGCATTGTTTACAAGCATGTTTATTATGTAATTTTATGAATAAGCAGTTTGGATGAAAAGAATGATTGCATTTTCGTATTATCACTTTTGTTAAAACATGGTATGCATCCCGCTTTATTACTGATGAACAAACAAAGCATTTTCTCCTAGGGCGTCTTTTCCTTTCAAATCTAATGATTCACATATTATATATATATATATATATATATATATATATATATATATATAGGATACATAATATACATAAATTAACTTAAAAAACTTATATAGTTATTACTCAAAATATTCTCTGACAAGATCCTCGTCCACAAGAAATTTATACCCGGGTGGATACAACACATCACGGATTGGAGGAATACTTTCCTCTTTTACACTTTTAAAAAATAGATGATATGAACAATAAACAATTATTACAGCATAAATTATTATCAAAACATAAGGCATTGTTAAATAAACATAAAAAATTTAATCAAATTCAAAAAAAACAAAAAAGAAGTTATCACATTTGTTTTTGACATCTGTTGATTGGAAAACAAATGTATATTTTATGAAATTATTAAAAATATGAAATTTAGACATGGTGATAGCAAGCTAGTTGATAATTAAATTAATAATATTATTATAATAAAATCATATATTTTAATTAATAGATATAATTAAGAACTTTGTATATTTGGTTTTTAAACTATTTTTCTAGGTTATGTTTGTCTTAAATGTCATTTTCAAATTTTGACATTTGGTTTGTTCCAACGGACACAAACAGAAAGTGGTCTGTTCGGACTGATCATTTTTATTAAAACTCAATTTTTATCAAAATGTTTACAGACTGCAAATTATAAAACAATTATTATAGAATTTAAATAAACATTCTTCGGGTACACATCTTTTGAATAAATGTAGTATAGTCGAGTCAAAAAAGTTCAGTCTATTGCTTTCTGTGCATTTAATATATTTTAAACATAAATATATGTGATATTACAATACAATTAAAACAGTTTTTTTTAATACAAAAAAATATATTATAAAATAAGCATTATATAAAAATGTAGTTTATAAAAATAAGATGCAAGAGACTGCACACAATTATCACTTTTTATCTTTCAGTCACTTACATTAGAGTATGTTTGTTATAATATATGAATTTATTACTTTGCTTAAGATATCAAGAAGTAGAAGGAGAATTAAGATCTAGATCTTTAATATCATTAAAAGTGATAATTTCCATACACATCGGACATTTGTTCAATCTTGTTAAAGATTTCCAGATGCATTTTCCATGGAACATATGACCACATTTTGTGATTCTCGAACAATCACTTTTGATCAAGCCATCAAGACAGATTGCACAACTTTCCTTTCGACGTAACTTATGTATGCTTAAAAACAAGAATAATATTAGATAAAAATAAAGCATTAGTATTAGATTTCAAGACTTACTCTTGTTTCCAAATAGTGACTAGAAACTTTTTGATCTTTTCTGCACGTTTTTCAAAGACTGATTTAATGATGAGGTCTTCGAATTCAATATGAACTTTGCAAGTTGGGCACTGTTTACGAGCATAATTACTGAGTATATGCTGGTAAAAGCATATTGAATGAAAAACGTGATTGCATTTTTGAATTGTTACATTTATTTCATCTTGACCTTCGAAAAGTAAACAAGAGCTACATTGTTTAAAATATCTTTCCTGGATTTTCCTATGACAGCAATGCATAATTTATATATGTATATTTATATGTATATATAGTAATATGATATTTAGTACCTTTGTTCAAACTCCCGTAAAAGTCTAATAATTTCATACATTTCCCTGTGATAATGATGAAAAAATTTTATATACTTAAATATATATATATATATATATATATATATATATATATATTGTACCTTTGACTTTCCTGCCGTGCATTCAAAGCACATCTTCTTTGATAATGGATTGCCCTATGATAATAATACATAAGTTATATATATATATATATATATATATATATATATATATATAAATTTATATAAATATTAGGTTGTCAAATATCTCCCTTCCGCCTTTTTGTATTATAAACCAAGAGCAAAAAAGCGGAAAGGAGATATTTGACAACCTAATATATAAATATATAAATATAAATATAAATATATAAATATATAAATATAAATATATAAATATAAATATATAAATATAAATATATAAATATATAAATATAAATATATAAATATAAATATATAAATATAAATATAAGGTTGTCAAATATCTCCCTTCCGCCTTTTTGTATTATAAACCAAGAGCAAAAAAGCGGAAGGGAGATATTTGACAACCTATTATTAAAAATTATTACCATTCCCTTTCCCCTCGAGCTGCTACAGAATAATCTTCCTTTTTAAAAAATGAATAATATATGAATAATAATAATAAAGCAACTAATCCTGCAGCACATATCAAAACTAAGGTCATATTGAAAAAAATAAAATAAAATAATTTAAATTAAGTTTCTTTCGAACACTTTTCCACATCTGTTTATACGAACAGTCACTAGTTTTTAAACATGTATATTTTATAAAATTTAGGAAAAGACATAATGCAGTTATAGCATTAACACTTAATTAAAAAGCATGCGTTACTTGTTTTCTCGAGAAAGTCATTTTTCGTTACAAGGTTATGTTTTCTTTTAAGTGTCATGTCAAACTTTGACATTTGGTTTGCTTCAACGGACACAAACGGAAAGTGGTCTGTTCCGACTGATCATTTTATCACATTTTTATAAATTGCTAAATAACTAGTTGGTTTGGTATTTTGCCTTGAGGAAAGTTACATGAACTTCCCGATATGATTAAATAATCGACTTAATCAATAAAAAATAAATTAACATATGATCCATTAAAAGTATTCCGAGTGGATTTATTACACCTAATTGAAAACGAACAAACGCGTTAACTAACTCAGAGTATTTTCTAAAAGCAAAATTTCAAAGATTAATAAATTTTATAATTTAACCAGTTTCCTTAGGACTTTACTGGTTTATTATATTCATTAAGATCAAGTACTCTGTCGTTATACCGAGTAATTCGTCTAATTTTAATTTTAACAAACGTCAAAAAAACTACTCATTTTCTTAAAAATTGGTGATTTTTTTAAAAAAAACTACTTGTCGTAAGGGCGTAATATTTCAATAAGTTGTATAAGACCGTGATATATATCGCCAAAAAAAGTTCCATAAAAATCGGCTTAAAAATTTATTTTAAACAGTTAATTACAAGAAAACGGCTCGGTAGATTTTTACCTAAAACTAATCAGTACCATTCCCAACTAATATCTTTCGAACAGTTTTTGATTTTTTAAAATCGATTCGGCAGTTTGAGCTTAAATGTGGACGAAGAGTTTAAAACTTTTTTTCAAATTACAAAAAAAACGGTTTGGCAGATCGTCTCACATAACTGACAAACAATAGTCCTCATTGAGATACATCAAATGGCTTTTAAATTTCTGAAATCGGTTCAGGCGTTTTTGAGAAAACGTCGATCAAAGGTCTAATTTTGACAAATGCCAAAAGAAAGATACTAATTTTTGCAAACTTTGATGAATTTTTAAAGCTAAACGACTTGTTATAGGGCGGTAATATTTTAGTATGATCTAGAAGACTATGGTATCTACCGTCAAAAATATAATAATAATAATCGTCGAATTTTTTTTAAAAAAAACTTTATTACAAGAAAACGGCCCGGCCGATCTTTACCAAAAACTAATCAGCACGGTTCCCAACCAATATATTTCGAACGGTGTTTGAATTTTCAAAATCGATTAAGAATTGCGGGCTAAAACGTGGACGAAATTTTTTTCACTTTTCTGCAATTTACAAAGAAACGGCTCGGCCGATTGTCAACCGTTTTAATGTAAATAGTTGCATTATTAATGTTTCTAACATTTCAGAAGTGGGATTCGAACCCACGAGGTTAATGTAAATAGTTGCATAATTAATGTTTTTAACAATATGTATAATAAATCCATGATCATGAATAAGAAAAATGTAATGTCTACATTATTATTGCCTAAAAGTAGCTGAGATGTGCCCGAAATTAAAATAATATAAAATGCAGTATATGTATGGCAGATTGAATGATACACATATGAACAAGATTTGATAAATTAATTCACTTAAAATATGAAATTAAGTAATAATCAAGACCGGTAAATTTTCAATAAAGTTTTTTTTTGCAATATTATTCAAGAAATATATAATTTCTATGCATCCTTTACTAATCTTTGCATAATATTTTTAAAATACGTTAAGAATTTCACATTACAACAACAAATAGGAAAGTAAAGATGAATACATACAATTCTGCCCTTACGATATCAATTTGGAGAAGTTTAAGATGCAATTTAGGATATTTTAAATAATAAAAAAATTAAATTGAAATAATCCAACATAAAGTACCAGTGCTATGTTATGGTTATGTTTAATAATGAAAGACTAGATTTTTTTGCTCTCTATGATTTGCTTAATAGAATAAATTGCATAAAATGCCAAAAATAAGTAAGTAAAATGTTTCAAAAGCCAAATATTAATTAATGATAATGAATTGAATAATAAACTGTTAAAACATGTAAAATGATAGGGGTGGAAGCGCTGAGAACCTCAGGAGCGTCCCTGGTAATAATGTATATTAAATTATTTTTAAAAAAATGTAATTTAAATATTATAAATTTAAAAAAATATTATTTTTAGGTGAACGGTAAATATTAGTATAGGATATTAACAAATTGTAGACATATATATGGGTACAGGACAATGTCTGTCGGGTCATCTAGTCATTGCAATAGAGTTATTTTTCTAATATAAAAAAATAATTTATTCTTCTAATTTAAAAAAATAATAAGGATTATTATATAAAATAAACGGTAACATAAAGATTATTTTAAAAACATAATAGTATAAATACTATTGCTTAGCATTTCAGTCACTTATATATATAAATATATTTGTTATAAAATCTGATGTTAGTTTCACATTTAAAAAAGTATATATATATATATATATATATATATATATATATTAAAATACAATTTAATTTTCTTAAATATATAAATTAAATATATAAAACTAAATATATAAAAATATATAAAATAAAGATTATTTTAAAGACTTAATAACTAATATTTATAAAAATAACAATATAATATATTTCTTTCATTTCATAGTCACATTTTATATTAACTTATTTAATATAAAATCTAATATTAGTTCCTCATTTAAAATATCAAAAAGTAGAAAACCTATTCAGTATCATTTAAATATATTTTAGTCTTAAATTTAGATCTTTAATATCTCTACCAATAATGATTTTCCTACACATTGGACACTTTTTTGAATCCATATAAGATAACCAGATGCACATGGTGTGATACATGTGACCACATTTTGTAATTATCGAACAATCACTGTCGATCATGCTCTCAAGACAAATTGCACAGTTTTCCTTTTGACGTAATTCACATAAGCTTAAAAAACAATATAATTAAATAATAGTAAAGATAATGAACTATTATTTAAATTTAAAAACTTACTAATCGATCCATAAGATTTCAAAACGAGTTTTGAACAGACGTTCAAGTCTTTCACTTTCTGAGCGAATGATTATGTCTTCGAGTTCAATATGAGTTTTGCAAATTGGACATTGTTTACAAGCATCTTTATTACGCAATTTCATGAATAAGCAGTGTGGATGAAAAGAATGATTGCATTTTCGTATTATCACTTTTGATAAAATATTGTAAGCATCTCGCTTTATCATTGTTAAACAAGCATAGCATAGTCTCCTAGTGCGTCTTTCCCTGAGAAGCCTAATGATTCATATATATATATATATATATATATATATATATATATACCCATACACACAATGTGTGTGTATGTATATATAAATACAACTGGAGTTTGTATGCTATATTCTAACAGCTGTTTTTTAATACTTGCATATAAATATTAATAGAATATAAAATATGTTATATACAGTTTATTACCTCTCTTCTTCTAATATTCTATTAAGAAGATCCTCATCTAGGACAAATTTATAACCGGGTGGATACACATGGATTGGAGGAAGACTTTCACTTTTAAAAAATAAATAATATATACAAAAAGCAATGAATCCAGCACCAAATATCAAAACATAGGGCATATTTGAATAAACAACAAACAAATTTAATCATAAATTTAATCAAAATTAAAAATAATTAAGTTTTCTCAACTTGTGTTCGACATCTGTTGATTCCAACAAATGTAAATTTTATGAAATTGATAAACAAATGTAATTTAGTTATGGCTTTAGCAAGTTAGTTAATAATTAAATGGATTATATTATTATGATAGAATCATATATTTTAATTATTAGATATAATTAAGCACTTTGTATGTTTGGTTTTGAAATTATTTTTCTAGGTTATGTTTCTCTTAAATGTCATTTTCAAATTTTGACATTTGGTTTGTTCCAACGGACACAAACTGAAAGTGGTCTGTTCGGACTGATCATTTTTGTTACAATTCATTTTCTATCAAAATACTTAATAGAATTTTTATAGAATTTTAATAAATGTTTAAAAACCTACAAAATTTAAATGTATTATATACCAAAATTATATAACACATTTAATTTCTACTTGTATTGAATTATTTTTACAATCAAATGATCAAAAGAACACAAAATATCAATTTTAAAGTTATCTTTTTTATTCTGTAGTATTAAATTTTATCTAGAATCTATTAAAGTTGAAATCGTTTTGATAAAGTATTATGTAATGTAATTAATATCAACTTGTTTTCAGTTAGAGCTGATGTTTTAAGTCAATTCACAACATTTTCAAACAATGTACAATATTTCTAGACAATTGAAAACTCTTTCAGGCAATCTACACGTTGTATAACTATCTACAGGTAACTTATAACATTCTTAGACAGTTTACAGCTCTTTCAGACTAATTACAGCATTTTCAGACAAATTACAACATTTTCAGTCAACACAAAAGTTTCAGACAATTTACAACATTTTTAGTAAACTTGCAACATTTTCAGCAAATTCACAAAATTTTCAGTCAACCTGCAATTTACAACTTTTCTAGATAACTTGCAATGTTTTCAGATTATTTACAACTTTTTCGAACAACTTAAAATATTTTTGACAAAAAATCACGAAATATCACGCGAGGGAGAGAGGGGTATAGTAAGATATCACGTGTATTTGTTTTTCAACTGTTTTTTTTTTAAATCAATCATTTTCAAAAAAATTACTTCGTTCAAAAATTTTACAGTTTTTTCACATAATTAAAATGGGGGGTAATTTTGAATATCACCATATATCACCAAGGGGGAGGGGGGGTCAAAAAATCCTTAAAAACTCGCTTACGTGATTAATGGACGCCCCCTAAACAATGATCACTGCCATAACGTATATGATTTTAACTTATTATAATAAAAAAATCTTAAATCAAATAGTTTTACCAATTAAATATTACCTCTAGAGTGATATTTGTGATAAAGAGTTAAATATCGGATTTTGTTATTTATTTATGAAAATATAAAACAATTTTTTGTACTCGTTGCAACTGATATATTATACATCTTCATCCACCTGGTACTCTCTTTCAAAAAACATTAAGCAGATCATCAAGTTCAAACCGGACTCTGCATAAAGGACAACTTGCATTGTTCTTGAGACAATTAAGGATGCAACGCCTGTGGAATACATGGTTGCACTTCGTTATTAGAGAGCAACAGAAGTGAGGAAGTCCCTCGAAACATATTGAACAGAAGTCACAATCTGGATAGATGTCATCCCTGGAAAACAACGGGATAAAAAATAATGTACAGAAGAAAATTGTATTAAAGGGTCTGGGCGTGTTTCCATACAGAATTGGCCCCACCCTGGTATTTAAATAATTTTGATGCCATTTTATAGGTATTTTCGATATAATTCGAATTACCAAATTTCAAATCCGTAGCTCCTCATTTGGCCGAGATACCAGTAAAAACATGCAAAAAAGGCCCCTTTTTTCAAACTCACTTTTTGTCGGAAATATGAGCGATATCAAAAAACTGTTAACGTCATTCTATTTGTACTGATCTTGTCTATGTTGTTCATAACAAATAATGTGAAAAAATTATTTGTTAGTGCGTGAAAAGGCGAAAATGAGTTTTCATTTTCCATTTTCTACCAGTGCGGCTTGTTTGACTACATTTATATTAGCATCATTCGAAAGCCTGCACATTTTTATTCTGTTATTGAAAAATTCATTTAAATCTAAGTGGAACTTTGGGAGAAAAGTTGGAAAAACTTAAGCTAGTACGCGCGCTGCCAGTACGAGAACGCTCATATAAAGTCGCTTTGCAAGAGCGACGACAAATTCTGTATATAAGTATGGAAATATTTATTAAAAACCAAAATTTATTTATATCTTGTATATAAGTATATTCATTAGTCATAACAAAAAATCCAACGCGCCGAATAAAACAATAATTATTATTATTGATTATTTTCATTCGCCGTATAAGTTCTGACTAATATATTTCAATGTATGAAAAACTTAAGATTTCAATATTTTTCATATATTTACGTCGGCAATAAAAAGTATTTTAATTTTAATTCATTACCTTTTTTTGATTTTTTACAATGTTATTATATTTTATATAGTTATCATTAAATAAAAAATCGATAAAAATATATGTCAGAATACATTTCATAGCTATTCAACGCAAGTATAAAAGTATTAAAAATATATTAAGTATTAAAAGTATATTACAAAAAATATATCTCTGTTGTTAAAATTATAATTATTATGGCTATTCATGGCTATCCAAATGAAAACTATTATTTTTTCAGCGAATAGTAAAAACAATTATAATTATATTTTTTATGTAACTACTATACAATTCTGCATCATCCACAGTTTTCTCAATTTAATTCCCTTTCTATGTAGACATTTATTTTAATACTTGCAATTTTTCGATATCATGATAAAATTGTCACTAAAATGTAAAATTATTGCAATTTCAGTCAAGTTAAAAATAGTGCACAGAAAAGAAAATATATTTTTTGCAAAACTAATATCGATTCAAAAAAATAATAATTTCTATTCTCCATGGGAAACCACAATAATTATAATTTGTGAAATTCTATGTGTAAACAAATTGCTCACAGAGATATATTTTTCAATATACTTTTAATATATGAAAAATATTGAAAACTTAAGCTTTTCATACATTGAAATATATTAGTCAGAATTTATACGGCGAATGAAAAATATCAATAATAATAATTATTGTTTTATTCGGCGCGTTGGATTTTTTATTATGACTAATGAATATGCTTATA